TATCCTCGTTTCAAATATTAAATAAATACAAAAATCGCTGCAATTAACCTAAATGTACATCCCCCATTACCTGTTCTCCAAGCATCGAGCCCAAAATCAGCATTTTATATAAACATTCTCAAGTATTCCACTTGAACATCTGAACTTTGCTTTGCGCCCAACTTCTCTTATCGGTCAAATTTTCCTATAGATTTTTGGCCAAATTCTTCACAATTTGATGCGTACGCTTAAAAAAGCTAACATTAATTGCGTGTGTAATCTTTTAATTACAGTTAAACGTATTCAGACCTTTCATCATTTCGAATTTTCATTAAGTTGCTACTTTACTATATGTAGGAGTTAAACCTTCCACTCTGAGATCTTAAAAAAAAAAGTAAGAAGACTTTCTGGTCCTTAGTTCACAATATCAAATTATTTTTAATGATAAACATTGTATGCGTGTATTCACGACTTGCTCCCTGCCGTTGAATATTGGAAAGTCTTTTTATATATTATTTAGCTGCGTACCAATTTTGCCAAGCAAAAGTTTCCATTGCTGTGTGTTCTTGATATTGAAAGAATAATTGACGAATCCATATTTGTAGAGTAATTAAAACATATTTTCAAGCTTTCAAGCATTCTTGAATTTGCTCGCTTACCGCGTTTAATTTCTTGGATCAGATCTTTTATAATATATCGATTGTCTGCATTTGATTGTAAAAAAAAGACTCTTGATTTTTTGTAGTTGGTGTAAATTTATATTTGCGGTGGCTTTTATAGAGCTAAGTAACGACTATATTGGTTGCTATTCCTTCGGTTATTCTTGAAACTTAAACTATGTTCTCCATTGAAATGATTTGGCTTTTGCTAGACGTTTTACATTTGTCAGTGCAATTTTATAATTCATTGTTATAGGTACATAGGGTGGAAAGTTCAAATTTGATAAAACTTCTATAAGTTATCTTACCAGACAAGTGGCCATACAACTTTCGTCCGCTTGTTTTTGTGCCATTAACACGAGCAACATGAGCACTTGGTTGTAAAATAAGCTGATATTCAGATTTTACTTCGGTTTTGGGACTTCGAACTTTAAAAGATTTTTTATTTTCCTTCGGCAAAATTATATCAGCGTTTGTTTCTGTGAAGTCTTTCCCTTTTTTCTTGGTTCCTGCTCCTTCGGTTATTCTTCTAATTTGAAGTCTCTGTTGACTTGAATTAGTCTGGGTTTTGCTAATTGAATTGTTCTCATCAACGTGGATCCGTTTAATTTTGACACGGCATCTTTTAGTAACCTTATCAGGCAACTTAGCTCCAACAGTATTTGCTTCATTCGTATCTACATTTGGTTGTACAACAAGCCCATATTCAGACTTCACTTCGGTTTTGGGACATTGGATCGTCAAAGACACTTGTCTTTCATCTGACAAAATTTTGTCTGCGGTTGTTTCTGTGCAGGCTTTCCATTTTCTAGTAGTCAGTCTTTCTTCGCCTCTTTTTGCAACTTGAAGTCTGACTTGCCTTGAAGTAGTTTGGGTATTACTAATCGAATCAATATCATCAGCGTCGACTCGATTCGATTTGTTACCAGTGATGCACACAGGAACACGTTTAACTTTGACGCGGCATCTCTTAATAATTTTGCCAGATGAGGGACAATGCAATTTAGTTCCGCCAGTTTTTGTTTCATTGACCTTGTTTGATTGTAAATCTAGCTCACTTACAGATTTCTCTTCGTTTTGGGGGCTTTGGATTATTGAAGGCTTTTGAATTTCCTCTGACAAAATTTGTTCGGCGAATCCGTCCTTTTTTCTGTTAGTTAATGTTGCTTCGGCTATTTGCCCAATTTGAAGCTCAAGTTGCTGTGAAGTACTTTGGGTTTGGGAATTATCCTCACCAGCGCAAGTTTTCAATTTGTTATTGCAGACACATACAAGAACACGTTTCATTTTGACGCAACATTTCTTAGCAATTTTACCAGAAAAATTACTGTGTACTTTAAGTGTATCCCTTTTATTTTGTATTATTTCATCAGTTTGGTCTAGATATTTGCTAGTATTGGCACCTGTAGAGAGCCGTCTAAGTTTAACATGACATTGCTTTGCAATTGTGTTGAGCAAACGATGGCTTCGCATTTTCACTGAAATACGTTTATTTGCATTTGGTTGGGAAGTAGATGCTAATTTAAATCCCATTTCCTTTTTGCAAGCTGATGTTTTTGATGATCTTTTCGCGCCAACTCCGTTTGTAATCCTTTTTAGCCGCACTGCACAACTTGTCCAAAGTGCTGAACTAGAATTTGGCAATTTCTTGTATTCGATGGTACGTTGGGCATGTGCCTGCTTATTTATATTCATGGCTAGCAATTAAATATGAAAACTGGATTGACTCTTCGTTATGCAGTATCACCAACGCGTGGAAATAAATATGACAACTGGATTGACGCTCGTTATGCAGTATCACCAACGCTAGGAAATAAATATGAAAACTGGATTGACCCTCGTTATTTATACTTTTTATCAGCCACGAACAATGTTTATATTCATATATGTTTATGTTCTTTTAAAGACGTGAATTACACTTATTTTCACATTATACAAACAATTTGTTACACACATAAAATACTTGCTAAATGTAATGAATTAAATCTTTCTTTTAATCGCTTCACACACGTTCTTCGAAAGGTTTTTGTAAAATCCTTCAGTTATCTCTTATTATGTTTTCCGACATTTTTGCTAGTCATGCAGGCTTTGAAATTGTGAAGAATTTTGTGCCGATTTATATTGATGCACTGAATATAAACTGTTATTTATTTATTTATTTATTTATTTTTTTCTATTGGTTATTTTTTCTCTTCTTTTACATTAGGCTTCCGTTGATTTCAGAGATTTTATTCTTTCTTTGATTAACGTTACGTTTTTCAATTTAGGCAATCATTGTTGGCGACGAATTCTGTAGATTTTCTTTTCCATGCGGATAGCTTAGGAGATAGTACTGCCAGACGCAAGTTTTTCATCTTTTTGTACAAATCTGCATGCATAACAGTATCATATATATGTAGTACATACAAGTATATGCAAGTACGGCGGCGCCACATTTGTTGCATGAGTTCTGATCAAAATATATTCTGCAAAGAGTTTATAGAGTATTTGTTTACAATTGAGAATACTTAAAAAAACGATTTCGAATTTGGTAACATTTGAGAGTAATTCCAAGAGCCAGTTCAAGTCTGAGAGTAATTCAAAGTTCGAATTTGTTAAAATCTGAGAATAATACAAAGTTCGAATTTGGCAACATCTGAGAAATAAAATATTTCGTCGTGTGCTATTGAAACCTCGAAAGGAAGAAAAGTTTTGTTGTTTTAACAATGTAAGTTTTATTTTAATAGAAATGTCCGATTCATTCAAATAGCGTTTGAAGACAGCAGCTATATTTTATTTAATTGTTAATTTTCACGAATGTGTTGCTTATGTTTAGATTGATTTCTTTAGTTTTGGTTTTTATTTACGTTTGCCTGTTAAACAATGTGGCAACGCGGCCGCCCATTGTGTTTACAAAGAAAATGACATTTCATTTTCTTAGTTCTGTTAGTGTGACTATTTTAATGCAGAGTTCTAATGCTGCAACAAAAAAATTTGTAGACCTCTAGCAGCCGACATTCGAGACAAATTTAAGGTTAATTTTGGAATTTTCTAATAGATAGCGGAAAATTCACCTAAAAAGTTAAATGAAAAGAATATATTTTCACATTCGGTACGATGCACATATAAAGTCGATGTAGTCGTCGTTTTTTAATATTAATATATAATTTGTTCATTTGTTTCTAATAAAATGCTGAATTACTTGGACTCCAAATGTTGCTTACATTGGTGTTTCCTTTTTGCTTTTTCGACAATTTCCAACAATAACAGTTAGTCAGTGTTGCTCTTATGAGTTTGCGCCTCGAAACAGATTTCTTTATATGTCAAATTCTTGTTAGACAGCTGAAATAGTATCCAAGCAAACAATTTTTAATAAAATATAATGTTAGCAGTGTTAACATAAGCGCGATATATTTTCAAACGTTATCGGATGAAAACATCTTGAATATGAAGTTTATCACGAGATATAAAAAAAAAAAAACAATTCGCCGGACTATACACATCGTGAGAGGAATGTTGCTTCAACTTTCTATTTCGAATTTTACAACCGTCGAATATAACCAAACACATTAAATCTCTACCGGATGGTCCAAAGTGAAAATGTCTTTACATAATTGTGATAAATACAAAAGAGTGTGAAAGGTTTGCCAGTAAAATAAACTTCTATTTCATATCTTAGTGTTTGCTTGGTTGTCAACTAATTCAATGACTGTTCAACCGTTCTTTTGCATGTGTGTTGGTTTAATGTGTAAATTTTACTTCATAGTTACAAAGAAATTGCTAATAAGGAAAATCGTGAAAAACATCAGCTAACAATGAACAGTTTTTAAACAACGAATTTTTTAAAATTTTGTTAGAAATAAATAAAATAAAAGCCAATAACTATTAACAACGAATCGAATTATACGAAAACAAAAATTAAAAATGGTTTAAAAAAATTTTCATCCTGCTATGTTCTTTGCTTTTGCCGAATCAAGCTCAATACTATTACAGTGGAAAGAGTATCAAGTGAGAGAAAAAGCGTTTGCTGTTTTTTTTTTTTGTTTTTTTTCATTTTCTTTTTGGAATAACATGCAATGCAATGTTTGATAAAATTTAATTTTTGATTTAATTAATTTTTTTTCAAAATGTGAAATATATAAGTAATTCTTTAGGTTACAAGTAGATATTAACAAATCGTTATACATACACCTACATATACACAATATATACTAAGAATCTAAGACCAAACCCATGCCACCTACTCCTTATCAACTGTCAATTTCAGAGAATCATTTTCGCCTTAAATGAAAAACAGTGTTCGGCGCGTGTAGGTAAATAACCAACCAACACTTGCTAAGCGCATTCTTAGATGAATACAACAATTGCAGCTAAGTAATGATAACAAATTTATCATCAATTATTATAGTTTTGCAAAAAAATATGAATGAAATAGAAAATTATTAATTAATTATTAAATGTAGATGCCCGGCAGACATATGGTGTTTAAGATATAATTGAAATTGAGTTTATGTTAGAAAAAAAAAAAAAAAAGAAGCAAAAATCTCCGCTTCACGGTGAAATTTCTTATTACATAGAGCCGCAACAAAAATAAAGATATAATTTATCAATGATCTTTACTTGAAAGTTTACAAATATTCTTTTAAAAAAAACCTGTTTTGAATTTTCTATACCCGGATTAATTTGTGATTTCAAAAATCAACGGTACATAGTGATCTAAACAAGTATTCCTGGTTTCGATTTTCCTATTTTCAACTATAATAGATTTGTTAAAAAAAAGAAATATTTTCAAAATTTCTATTCAGCGAATAAGAGCAAATGAAAGCACGCGGATCGTTTCGCAAAATATCTGTTCGCAAAATTATTGAAAATTACAATTTATAAAATATTTCCGCATTGAAACTTTTACTTCAGTTTCTGATCTGAACAGCCTCAAAATTACAGAGCAAAAGAATCAAGTTACCCGCTCCGAGCAGAGCAATGACTATCGTGTTGTTGTCTTCGGGGCGGGTGGAGTGGGCAAAAGTTCACTGGTTTTACGTTTTATTAAAGGAACATTTCGTGAATCCTACATTCCAACTATCGAGGATACTTATCGTCAGGTGAGTACGCAATTATTATTATTTCTCATTTAAAAGCAACTTACAGCAATTTCCATGCGTTTAAGTTCTTAAGAAATATTCATAGCAACGACGATTGCAACATCGATGACCATTTTTATGTACAGTAGTCAATATTTATCTTATTATAGTTGAAATTAATTCTAGTTAAAAATCCCTCTCTCCCTCTCTCTTTCTCTCTCTTTCTCTGTCACTCTCTTCCCTGCTTCCCCCCTCTCTCTTACACTTTGGAGACATCTATGGCTGTGACAACATTCCTACAAGTTGCCGTCTACTCCCTATCATATGCTGATTGGCATATGGATTATTTGACACCCTTACCGACGCGTCTATAAAAACGCAGGCATACAACTCCGTCGTTCTTTGCAATTACTCGTCTTTTAAGCTTATTATTGTCCTTATTGGACTATAATTATCAATGTTACAGCCATCACCAGTAGCTGCTATGTCCTTGCTATTTCTATTATTATCATTTTTTTTTTTTTTTTATTTTTTTAAAAATTTTTTTTTTTTAGACTTTAAAATTATCTTAAGCGTTGGATGGAATAAGTACTGGTTCACTTGTGTGGGAAAATAAACGTGGGCTGCGTATTAAATGCACATAAATAAAAAATTTGTTTCATACAATTCATGCATGCAGCTATCGATACAAATAGATCAAGGTAGACGGAGTAATAGGTGTGCCGTCAATTTAACCTTTTGTAATATTATAGACTTAGTTTATGAATGAGAATAATTTTATTTAGTATTAAAACAAGAGCGCATTAGAAAGTTTATGTAAAAACAAGTTAGAAAGCTAGGATTGCTTTAGATTGATTCTTGGATATCAAACAAATCAAATAAATTCCTTATCTATAAGTACTTGCCTGGTCGATATTATAAATGCCCCATGCAAGCAAGTGAGCTGATTTTCGATGCCACGCCAAACCTATGTAGTTATTGCGCTGACGGCACTTCCCCTCGAACTTGTTTTTCATGAATTCAAGTCTAGCTTTTTAGGTCCTCTTGTTGAAAATCGGATTATAGAAATGCGCTTGTACTTGTTTGTTCCAAAATGGCATCACTAACTGACCACAAAGGTACATTCCCTTTCCTTTCTTTGTTTTTTCTTTGTGGCCAGGGAATGTCCCTCATCCGTATAAGCAGGTTGCAGGTGATGAGTAATTTCAGGTAGAGAAGAGAAGAAAGCACTTTTCATTTCGATGGCAGATTAGGATAGATACTTTACACTACATACATGTTTTGAATTGGCTTTCTTTATATAATCTCTAAGAGTTGGCATAATAGCGCCGTAAATTGGCGCCAGAAAAATTGAAAAAAAAGTGTGTGTAATTTGCAAATGTTTTGTACCTGCGCTGACTAAACGATAAACTTATAGATAAGTTAAAATTTCAAAAGAAATTGTCAAGTGTAAAGCACAACATAACCTCAAATTAAATGAAAGAATGCGAAGCATTTGCTTAAAATATTTATATATTTATATATAAGACGGTAGAGTTTTCTCTTTTTTTCGAAGACGTTTTGAAACTGCCGTCAAGAAACCACGCCCACTTCGGTATATAAACATAAATCGAAAACGTGCATGTTTAGTTTCCAACTGGGCTTTTCCCAATTTTCACGAATGTAAAAAAATGCTTACAAAAGTGTAAAGTTCACATTCAGACGGACAGACAGGCTTAGATTCATTCGCATGATGATTCTGAATCGATCGGTACCATAAAAGACGCTCTAAAGCTATTTTAAGCCCTTCTGCGCGTTACATACGGCTGAATTAACTTAATATACCCTGTGGCATAAGTGGTGTAGGGTATAAAAAGCGAAGAATCATTGAAAAGTTCTTTGCAAAAATACTAACAGATAGTCAGCTGGTCTACCAATAATTAATGACAACATTCCTATACTCACTTGAAATGGAGGCTATCCGTGGTCCGGCCTAAAGTAAAGATTTCTATTTGCTTGTTATTTTCACATATCGATGTTTAAACGGTATTTTTCGTCTTTGACTTGCGTGAATTAAATGTTCATAAATGAAATGACTCGAGTTCATTAAAGTGCTTAAAATGGATAAGTGCTTTCAGTTATAATAGTAAATAAAACTCACAAGTAAACTTACTTAGCCAATTGTATTTCTACCAATAATACATTATTTAATGAGCCACATAGGTTACTCATTCATTCAACTCAGCCGTATTCAGGCCTACTCTCAGCTATGTAACTATGTATGTTATGTGACCTTCACAAAGCTTGACCTATACTTTCAAATTCCTTCTTTAGCTCGAAAAATTCTCTTTCTCAGCATATTCTGCAATAATTGACACTATTAGGACATCAAAGTTTTGCCATTGATTAAATGTAAATATTTCACATAACAATATTATCTAAAAGCATCCTATCCTAGTCGTACAAGACTGGTCTCTCTCTCTCTCTCTTTCCGAGTTAATTGAAATAAACTTGGCTTAGATAGTGATCGGTACATTTGTTCATTCGATAAAATTTTAAACTTTTAAATAAATTGAATTGAAATTTGAAAGCAAAAAAAAATTGCATTTCAATTGACTTTAACAACACAATCAGCCATAAACACCTACGTTGACCGTTCTGTAAAAAGAAATAGCATAGCAAGTTGAATTCGAGCCAAGTTTAGAAAATATTTATGTGTTGATTTTGACGAAAGCGGTGAAGAGATTTATTACACTGGTTACGTTATGCTGATTGCTTCCGGTTTCGGTTTCTGGTTAATGTAAACAAAATATTATTTAAAGTGAACTTAACTTCAACAACTGTTATCCATTTATTTACTATTTGAAAAAAAAAAAAAAAAAGGAAAAAAAAACGATTGGCACATGTTACACAGTTAAAAAAATAATGATTTTTAAAATGCAAGAATTTGTCGCAAATGTCACTGAACTTTCCTTTTTTTTTTTTGTTACCTCTGTGTATGGATATCAGATTTATCCCTTCCCGTTATTGCATTCAATAATGTGGAAAAATTTTTTGGAAAAGATTTTGTGAAAAAATTTTTAATATTTTCTTCCTTCTGCCTGTGCAGAGAAAATAGATTTCCTTGAGTTGAATAATAGACAACAAATGTTAGTTTAATGGAAACTTTTTCGAGGATTATCCAATACTTCAAATGTGTTCCGTTGATGCATATAGCCACAATACCTAAACCAATGCAATTCACTACATATAACGTATATTGATGTAAAACTTTGCAGAGATGCTTCCATCCCCAGAAGTCGACGTAAAAATGGCGCCGAGTTTCAAAGGCACATAATCTGATAAGGCAAACATAAGCAATTTTGTGGCGTAACATTTTTATTTCTCCGTATAATCTCCTTTTACCTCGGCTTACTGGCTTTAGTGATATTTCAGTAGGATCGATATTCGGTTTATGCTGAGAACAATCAAGCTCTACAAAATAGCCAACAATTGTATGCTCGATCTCTTTTTCTCCGCCGAGCCATTTATTTTTTTTTTGTTTAGAAAAAGAAAGTAATATGTGCGGCATAAATTAGACGGAGAGGAATGATACGAAGGCATTTCGAACTATAACTCTGCGGACCGGGCCTTTATGGCAATGTAATGAAATAATTTGCGACAATTTTTCCTTGATACAATCGCTTAAATATAATGACCATTGCCCATAATACTCGTCATCGATTGTTGAGAAAATAAATAATAAAAACAATTAAAAACATTATAGCCGGACAAGACCAAGTATTAAATACCCTACACCCCTTTGGCTATCACATTCCATCATTTATTTTCGTGAAATACTCAAGATTGTGCTTTGTTTTCATGTAAAGCCATCAACTCCATGGGAGTCCTTGTATGGGGCCGGGTTCAAACAATCGACCTACTTGGTTCAAATTTGGTGCAGTTCATTTTTATTTTATAATTTACTATTACGGACCATAAAATCTTCATCGTAAAATATTAAAAATTAACTCTGTTTGCCATGCAAACAGCTTACGTTTCATGGAGTATCTTTCTATGGTGTAGGGTGAAAATAACCGAACTACTTTGTCAAAATGTCGAACTATTAATTTTTATGTGAAATTGTTTTCACCATGATTAAAAAGTGAACCATGCAAAGGCTTGGCATATAAAGATCTAGTTTTTGTGGAAACTTTTTTTATGGAAGGGAGTCTCAAAAATTTGAAGTAAATTTTTTATATCAGTTTTATAAGCCCATTGCTATTATTCGGCGGTTTTGGGTTTCGCAATTTTCAATATTTCAATTTTTTTTTCCATATAACGATTTTTTCTAAATAAATTTTCATATGGGACATGGCCGTGGTCCCATCGAATCCATTTTCACTAAGATTAATATTTGACCGAAACATGTCGAATTCCCGAAAAAATATCTCAATAATTATTACTTGTATGTTGAATGAAATATGACAGACGGACAAGCAGTCAAACAGTTGGACAAACTTGAAACCAATTAAAAATTGATTTTCAATCGATTGGCGCAATATAAGGTGAAGAGAGACTAATTGCTTGGATATAGTATAATTACAATAATAATTTTTAGCAAATGTAGCCCAGTCTTCACGTTAAAACTCTTCCTTTTCGCCACTGTATTCTTGTAAAATTTTCATTTATCTTCCTACTTGAGCCTTCGTTACATCTTCACAGCTACTATATCTTTACTTGTTTAAGTCACTTGATCGAGATTCCCGCTATTTAATGACAAAAAAAATTTTAGGGACTAAAACTTTTTAATGCCCATACCTTTATACCTTTATATCAATACCGGAATAGGGAAAATGAAGATAATTGTTTCAAGATTACATTATATATCAATTAAGCAAGCACTACAACATATATAATTGTAATAATGCACATTATGAAGAGCAAATTTATTGCATAAATATAATATTTATTATGTGTAAAAAAATGCTATTAGCTTTTTGAATTCAATATTATTGGAATAAAGTTCAGTTAGTTAATACATTTCATGTCATTCTCAGGTTATAAGTTGCAATAAAAATATATGCACTTTACAAATAACCGATACGACGGGATCACATCAATTTCCGGCAATGCAAAGATTGTCAATAACAAAAGGCCACGCATTCATTTTGGTGTATTCTGTGTGCTCCAAACAAAGCTTAGAGGAATTGAAGCCAATATGGACTCTCATAAAAGAGCTCAAGGTAAAATGATAAATGCTTTTATTATTGTGTTATTGTCAAAGTCAAATATTTTGGCAAAAATTTCTACAAATGCCTTGAATGACGATGCGTTTAGTGGTAGTGATGATGATGATGGTGGTGGTGGTGGTGGTTGTGTGTGTGTGTGTGTGTGTGTGTGTGTGTGTGTATGCATGTATATATATATGCATGTGTACAAATGTAAGCATTGAAATGTTTTATTTGGTATTATTAGGGTGAGGACATACCAAATATACCGGTGATGTTGGTTGGCAATAAATGCGATGAAACGGCTGAATTACGCGAAGTCACCGAAATTGAGGGTAAAGCTCAAGCCACCACTTGGAATATATCTTTTATGGAGACGTCAGCAAAAACAAATCATAATGTCACCGAGCTATTCCAGGCAGGTTTTCGTTCTTTCCTCTTAATTTCCTTTCTTTTTTCTTTTTATGTTTATACAAACTATATAATAATACAATACAATTGGCATTTATTCAAAATTTATTCAAAAAAAAAAAAAAAGAAAAAAAAAAAAAAGAAAGCATGGATAAGAAACAATTTAAGAGATTATTTACTTGTATACACATTTTCGCCACATTTTACGGTTATTTCTTGCTTATGACACAGGAATTATTAAATATGGAAAAAACGCGTACAGTATCCTTGCAGTTGGACACTAAAAAACAAAAGAAGCAGAAAAAAGAGAAGAAGGCCAAAGAAAATAGTAATGGTGCCATACCCGAAAATGGTGAAGGAGGTGCGACCAGTAATAGCGGCGGTGCCAAGGAGAAATGTCTTTTAATGTAAAAATATATGCACAAAATATGCCTCCTCTCGTGTCATCACAACTCCCACTCACAACTAACTGCATTAATGTAAACATAGAACGAAATGTATTATCATCATCAACAGCAACAACAAATTATTTTTAATAGTTTTTTGTTTTTGTTTTTCTCTAAGCTTTTGCAAACGACGGGATGGATAGCGTAGCAGTATTAATTTTTTTTTTTTTTTTTTTTGTTTCTTTTGTTTTTCCTTTTTTACTTTTAATACCAGCCCCAATCGATTGGTATATATAGATATATATATATATATATATATATATATATATGTGTGTATGATATTTGCGTGATTTAATTTAGAAAATGTTTTATTTGATCATTTGATCATTTCATATCCTTCATCTACATAAGCGTTTAAGATTTTCAACCATAGCGACTTTAATTCACTTTAGTCGCATTAGTCATGACCGTCCGTTCATATATTTGTTGTTTGCATTCGTAAACTGGCGAAATTCATAGTAAAAAAATTTCATATTTGACAGATTTTCGAATAATTCTACAGATCAGGTAATTATGAATGAGTAAACTAAAATTTATATAATCTCGAAAAGACGTGAGAATAATAAATTCTGAAAAAACTTGTAAGCTTTCGCAAACCAAGTTTATTATTGTTAAACAAAAAAAAAACAAAACAGCGTACGTTGCTCACCTTTTAATCTTCTTCGTCTTCTTCTTATTCTAATAATTTTGCACAACTCTTGGCTGTAAAACTCGAAGCTCCAATGAATTCTAATCAAATAATTCCAACATTGAAGGCGATACCGCAATAGATTTCTATTTAAAGCGAATTTATTACTATTCAGATAGCTATGCAGAGACTAGTACCAAATATAGTCTACTCATTCTGATTCAAGCAATATAGTGATCGCCTTATAATTCAATTTTATCAAGTTCCTCTTCCTCTTCTCTTTTCATTCTTAGCGACTGATAATACAGTTTCGCGAAAAATCCGCTTGTCCAATATCTAATGTGGAAGTGGAAAGAATTCTAATATTTAATGCACATATTCAGCCTTGGTGGTCCTGCTCGAAAACGCAACAAAGAGAATCTTAATATATTTTAAAATATGAAACATTTTTTTTTTAACAACCTAACCTATAATGAATATCAATGCGTCTCCTATTAGAAATCATGGGCCGAAATAGATCACAGATAAGGTCGGGTGCAGAATGGCCCATGGGTTTACGGTCGGCTCGTCCGTAAAGTAGATTTCCTTCGTCTCTTTGCTCTTATAAGGGTAAAGCACGTGTAGGATAAAAATTTTAAACTTCTCCGCATATTCCCGCCCCTATTCGGGAAGATCACTAATTGCAAGAATTAAAATCGAAAATTAAAATTTTGGTCTACGATTAGTAATCAAATGTCAAAATAGACATAATTCACTTGCAACTACGCATAGAGTACAAATACATTCCTAGTTGGTAGTCTCCGATCTACTTTGAACTTGGGAATGATCATCTGGCAACTTCGCTTCCATTCCAACCGTTATCTTAAACTTCAAATGGGCCTTTACCCTAGACTTTATAATCTAGGCCAGCAAGCAATAAGCTCTCAGGTCGAGATTTAAGGAAATCCATTTTTGCAAACATAATCTATTGATTAAGGCTATCAAAACCTTTAGTAGTCCCTTCTCCATATCCAACTGGAATGATATATTCTACTACTTGTTTAAGCAACTTGCTCGGGAAATGTCTTATAAATTAATAGGAGTGATTTGTTTTATCTATTTTAGTTATCCGTTAGCTTCAACATTTTTGGCTATACGATCCGGCCAAAGTCAAGGTTTCGCCGCAAGATTCAGCCGACAGCTGGGCTCGAAATAGAAGAAGAGATATTTATTTGTTTTACTGATTTTATTTTGTTAGTTACCGGGTGCGTTAATACTCTCCTTGCATTTGCAATATCTAAGCGGAAGGAAATCTAAAAAAGTACGGTATTATTAATTCGTTCGCCGACAACTGTCGCATATATGTGTGATTTAACCTCACATACTTGTATAAGTTTGAGAAAAAATTTTCTTTTCCTTCAAAACAATTACGAAAGATTTTTGGGTTCTGTGATAAACAGGCTAAGTTATATATGCCTTTCCATCTATTATTCGAATTCGGAAAGTTATAAATGTTAATACAAAAAAACGTAAAATTTGGAAATTGGACTTTGCTCTCACTTCTCACTTCTTTTTCATGTGAAGTGATTATAAAAAAAAGAGCCAAGCAGCTCGTACAAGATCAATAATTCAGGTATTCGGTTGCCATATAGCCGAGTAAAGAAAACTTACGACAACTTGGCGTTCGTGATATCAAATCTCACTGCATTAGACCCTGTTAAGCGTAGCAGATACTCCCTATCTTTTTGTTTTTCCCTTACTTCCTGTTAATGCTAAGTAAAAAGAACTTATAATAGATAAGAAAAAGTGATTTAAAATTTTTTACAAAAATTTTATTAGAATATTTCTGAATGAACTAAAATGTTCACTTACTCCCGCTACAGCTAAAGATTTCAAATATTTACATGATGATCTTAGGTGAAGAATACCGAAGTCATCATGTAAAAACGGATATTATTTAGTGTTCTTCAAAAAAAAAAAAAAATGTTCACGCCTATCTAGTTTGCTTGCTTCTCAAGTCGAAGCATGAAATTTTCTTCCCTTAAATTGTAAGCTGATATAAACTAGCTAAGCTAGTTAAACTTACACATCAATGACTCTAAATAGAATTTTTCTTTTTCACCTTACGTTTTTCACCTTATCATAAACTTTATCATTTAAGTTCTGCATTGCAATGGAACGACAAACGACAAATTTATACATATCAACGATTTATATGAAATAAAAAAAAAAATTACTTTATTTTATTTAAAAAAAAAAAATAATAATAATAATAATAATTTGTTTTTTTCTTTGTACATAACCATATATATAACATACATCTATCCATCCATTCATTCAACTAAGCTTAATATATATAAAAGGAAATGAAAAGAAAAAAACGAAAAAAAAAAAAAAAAACTACATAAACTATAAACCTACTATGAATATGAATGTAAATATACCAGACAAGTAACACACAAAACCATGCACACATACCTATGTACATTTGTATTTATAAATATATTAAATATATATTATCACTAAACAAATTTCAATAACTATGCATAAAAATATATATATATATATATATATATATATATACGTACGTATACGCATTACATTCATATTTGCTTACTTATATATTATTACATGATAAAGAACTATGAAGAAGAAGAAGAAGAAGACGACGAAGAGACCGCATAAGTCCTGATATTAAGCCAAAGAAAGTTTTCAAAACATAAACATTCATAAACTACATATGTTTACATAACTCTCTTAAGATAAAACCAAACTAAATAAAAAAAAAATAAAAAAACCAAAAAAAAAAAAAAAATTGAAAAAAAAAATTGAGAGAAACGTTCAGCTTAGTGTGTAGATCGCGCATGAAAATGTATAAATATTCATACGTAATAAAAACATAAACACGAACATAGACTCCCCCCTCCCCCTTCCCCGCCCCCTCCATCATATAATATAATCAGTCTATTAATAAACTTTGCAATAAATTATTCAATTTGCAAAATTTTTCTATAATTTTTCTATAAAATTAATGGTCATCATCCATACATTACTGCACTACTCATATAATGCCATTCATATGCTATTCAAGATTAATTAGGCAAATACGTATGTTAAACACCAAAATATTGTTTATATAATTATTCGAGGAGAGAATTTGTTTTTGCATTGCAAAGGAACTCATTGTAGCGTTATAAGTATGTGAGTTAAAGTTAAAAAACTTTATTTTTCATATCTACGTACTCGAGAAATTACTAGAAAATGCTTTAAGAAAAAAAAAAAAACTTTTAATTACCTTAAAATTCCGTGTCAATCAAATCATTTGTCCATGCGTTTGAAATTGTAAAGATGGAAAAATTGAGGTAGAAAGCTGAAAAACATGATAGATTCATATTTTTTGTTAGAATTTCACAGATCACTTTTAAAAGTGGAAGGAAATTAAAAGAAAAAAGGCAAGGGAAGGGAAGGGAAACTAAAGATTTGAATATTTTCAATAGAAAACACACACTCGCCCAAAATAGATAGCCCTTTGGCTGTCTCTTACAAATCGTCATTAAAAAATCACTTAAAAATTCGTAATAAAAATATTTTTGCTTTTTTACACCCATCACCGAAGGACTCATCCTGAGGGTCATATTAATTTTTTCAAAACGTTTGCAACGTCCACAAAGAAACTTTAAAGACCCCACAAAATATATATATATATATATATATATATATATATATATATGCATAAATATATATATTATGCATATGCATAGTTGACCAGCATCAAGTTCTAAATTGGTTTAAAGCATGTCCGTCTGTTCGTCTGTGTAAAACATTCATCCTGACCGCAAAAATGAAACTTTTGACTTCAAATTTGCAGGAACACTGAAAATTCTTGCAGGCAGATTGATATTGCAAATAGACTAAAACGATCAAAGGGCACGCCTGCAGTGCTACAACAAATTGGCTTTTTACTCGTTACCTATAAACAACAGCAAAATGAAAAAAAAAAAATCGGCCACCCCCATAACATATAGAAGCTAGGTTCGAAAGCCTCATAAAGTAAATAAAAATTTCTGGTCAGTTTCGAAGTCGTATTGCACCTAAGCATGCCCATTCTTTCATCTGTCCAGCTGTCCATCTGAATCATATCAGCAGTAAACATTTTCCCGTTCGCAAAAACTGAAGGTATCGCTTACAAACTAGCGAAGGAGTTTGAAGATGATAATACGCCCGCTAGTCCATGTAATAAAAACTATGAACATCTTCTGTTTACTGTATTCTATGCTTGTTACGCATAAAGTACAACGTATAAATATTATATATATATATATA